TTTCACAATTAAAATAATTTAGGTTCTGTTTCTCATGACCTTTACTCAAAAATCTTTTCTTGGCAAATCTAATAATAAAAAAAAAACCAAACCAAACCCAGCTTATTAAATACTTTCCTAATCCTCCCAGCTTGAAAAAAAAGTTTTGGTTTCTTAGAAGACAGAGTACAATAGCAGAGCAATAGTCCAAGGGGCCTACAAATGAACATCATCATGAAGACAACATTATTCAGTTTTGCCAGTAATGTTTGACATTGTCCAGTTTCTTGCATAAACCATCTTATCTGCAAAAACTGATTTGAGTAAATCAATTATTTGCTATCATTCTTTGAGAATAGACTCCTACCAAGATGTGGTTATTGGAGTGTTTTCCCTTAGAGTGTTGTAAGGTATAGGTATTTGAGAGTTCTTTTTATTTGTTTTATTTACCATTTTGATCTTAGGATGGCTCGTCGCTGGCTGCCACTCAAGAGGCCTACCATCCCGATGAATTCTGCAAGTCTGAAACGCTGAAAATTGTTATCCTTTGATAGGAAAACATTGCAGAAGTGGCAAATTTTATCGTTGAATGTTTGTTGGTCTTTCTTATCATGCTATCCAAATATTCAGTCTTGAACATCAGAACCACATGCGAAGAAAATTATGGTGAAAGAAATAGTACTGTAGTTCCCAATGGCTGAAACTCACTGATTGCAAAGGTGTCGTCGAAGTTGGACAATTTGGGTCAGTCTTTTCAGTCACCTGTTTGCCATTAATTCCTTTTTTGTGGGTTGTTTACGAGTGAACATTGGTGGCACGCTATATATGTGCTGTTGGATAATTAACCCATTCTTTCGTTTCATTTTAACAGATTTTAAAAGCTAAATGTGATTAAAATTTTTCATGAGCTCTTATACATTTTAAGAAGTGGGTCTTGGCTTATAGCTGAATGTTTTGTGTTTATGTTTGAAGACGATCAGATTAAGTTTAAGAGTTAAAAGTTTAGTGTTTTGGCTTATAGCCGATAAAATACGGTATCGGCATATTTTATTTGTATATATAATCACATGATTTCAAGTGCAATTTGGATAAATAAGCATGAGGGAATTTTTCAAGGACTAACAAAATTGCATGAGTGCGTAGGGCAAGTGCAATAATTGTGATCTTTGAAAAAATTTACCTATGCTTATTTATTCCAAATTGCACGAGAAAAATCATGTTCTTATGTATTAATAATACACATGAAAAAATACGATGTAGCTTATCTTAATTATGCAGAAGAAAAGTGTGCGCATCACGTGCAAAAATAATTTATTCAAACCCTGTGAGTGACGTTGAGCATTCGGTTAAAACAACCGCATACGATCATAACAATAAAACAAAATGAAATTTTTACATCTGTAAGGTGCAAAAAAGTTCAGAGTCCAGCCAAACAATTCAAGGAATTGTTCAGTGAGTTTGGTAATTCTGATTTTCTTGGATTAGTGACCAATATCAGAATGTCTGGTTGGTTACTCTCTTTGCACTGAATTAACTCCCTTCTGCACTGAATTAACTCTCTTCTATGCTGAGTTACCTGAAAACTGCACTTATATTAACCAATCAGAACTGAATAATTTTTTCGTGTATATATTTATTAATCAAGTAACAAATTTTGTTATGATTGAGGCCTTTTTCCCTAAGTTCCATCTTTAAACCACAGACATTAAGTATTATCTGGCAATTAAATCAAGCTCACCCTGTTGTGTCTCTTCTGTGTGATCCTATCGACAGTACAGACACCACTCACATCACAGAGTGTCTCAGTAGGTCGGTAATCGATTCAAAATAGTATAATTATCACTGATGCGGACAATATCCTGTGGTCATTCTCAGGGTTCTCTCTATTCCCT